ACACACACACACACACACACACACACACACACTTCTAGCTACCTGCCACCAGTAACAAATCCTTCCTTGGCCCTTTTCCTTCTGGCTACTTCTCTGTTCTTTCCCCACTGGGCACTTTCTGCCCTGTAGTTCACAGGGCATAGCTGCAGCAAGGCAAAAAGAAGTCCTAGTGGCAGGACAGACTGTTCCTGTGACTCCCATGACTTTGGCATTGATCATGGAAAGACTTGCCAGCATTGGGGCCTTCTTCACCCTGGTGCCCACTGTGACCAGAACATGATGTTCAAGTGAAGGCCTGATGAGGAAGGTGGCTGAAGCATAAATATTCAACAGGAATGTGTCCAAGAGAGGCTGGAGGGTTCCCTCATTACACTGACCACAAGAGTCTTGATTTTCCCCACTGGTTCCTGCATTTCATGTAACTATATTCTATACAATTTTTATACTCTTAAGAGACTTTTTTAAAGAAATTTATAGGTTAATCAAAAAATTTTTGTCATAACGTATATCCCAACTTTTGGTTCAGAAATATGGCCTCTCTACCCCTGGATAATGTTGATATCTCCAAGAAAGAGGTGGCTGGATGAAAAAGCTCATGGCTTGAAGGTGGGAAAGGAAAAGAAAAGAAACTGGAAAACAAATTCACTTATTACAGGACTGCATCATGGCTTACTGGCATGGTATTTAGTCTAGAAACGTTGTGCACAGAATATGCCTCAATGCCTACTAGATATGCTGGGGCCTCTGGTTGCGGTTATTGTGAACTGCTTCACTGCTTCAGAACGTCTTTCTTCTGTTTTTCTCCAGCGACAGTTGAGCAAAAACATCAAGTTTGGGCAGCCACCACCCAATGCCATTCCCATGAAGAAGGCAGACAGTGGCGAGGCTACCTTAGAAGAGGATCTATTCCTGACCAGTCCCATGGAAATTGTGACTCAGGAGGACATCATCCTGTCAGACACGGAGAACAAAGTAAGGCTCCTCCTGGGAATGACTTCTTGCTAATACGTGTGGGGAGGACGTCAATCAGTGAACAGGGGCGTCCGATAACTCTTGGGTCTGCAGTGGAAGGAAGGAGTATGCAAGAGAAGCTTTCCTGATGAGTCGCCCAGGGCTGGAGGGCACTTCCAGGTCAGGTGCCATGATCTGCAGTGAGGGCCACTTGGAGGAGGGAGAGGAAGAGAAGACATGCCCTTTGCATGCGCTCTTCACAGTGTCTTCCACTTGTTCTTCAAGACTCAGGTTGGCCCACCTCTTCTGGGAAGCCTTACCCGGCCTTACCCCCAGGCTGTGCTGTCTCCTGTGTGTCTTTGCTGTGTGTCCTTAGTGCCTCTCACACATTCATACTCATCTGTGTCTGTCCACATAATTATTTTCTCTCCATCTCTAAATGTTGAGTTCCTTGAGGACAAACTGGATCTTACACATCTCTGTCTCCCTAGGACATAGCTAGTGTTTACTTAGTAGCACTGAATAATTACTTGTCAAATTGGACTAATTTAAAGGAAAACAAGAAAGAAATAGGTTCTTAACAAGACAGGACATATCAAACTGGCCATTGAAGTTTACTTAATGAGGAAAGAAAGTCATATTGGTCCAGCATTGTCTTATCTAAATTTGGTCTTTTGACACTTGGAAAGAGACACCATGAACATATCCTGGAATGAGAGTCCTTCCAGCAGCAGAAGGGACCCCCCTCAGGCCTCTGGTGGGGAAGGAGGAAATGCCCCACCAGTAGCTGGAGCAGGGAGCTCTCTGCTGAGTCTTCCAGTCTTGGCAGAAAGCATTCTTTGTGCTTTGCCTACCAAGGTGCCTGGACTTACCCTGGGTGTTTTTAAAATGGACGTGGCCCCAGAGGTCATGCTTGTTATCAGCTAATATGTCATAGAGCAGTAAGAAGGAGAAGTGATTAACAGAGCAAAGTGAAGAAGGATAGAACAGGCTGGTCCCCCGCTGTTGCCCACCTCTGCCTGGTTCTCATGACTCCTGGTTCCCACACAAGCAGGTGTCAGGTGGTGTGCTGGGTAAAGTGGAGACCGCGAGGTCCAAAACCACTCTCTCCAATCTCTCAGTGCGAGCGGCAGCAATGGCTGTCAGCCTTAATGCAGGGATTGCCCAAGGACTGAGGCAAATGTCCTATTATTGATGGTATAATACATGCAACAGACCATGGCCTGAGGGAGGAGGAGGACCATTCGTTCGGCAAGTGCTACCCCAGCTATAGATTAGGGGTGCCTCTGCATGGTTTGCATTTTTTTAAATTTTTTATTTTAGAGAGAGAGAGAGAGAGACAAAGTATGAGCAGAGACAGAGGGAGACACAGAATCCAAAGCAGGCTCCAGGCTCTGAGCTGTCCTCACAGAGGCCAACATGGGGCTCAAACTCACAAACCGTGAGATCATGACCTGAGCCAAAGTCAGTCACTTAACCGACTGAGCCACCCAGGTGCCCATGCATAGTCACATTTTAATGAGAGTCAGATGGCAAGTCAACAGATATGTATAAAGATAATAACTTATTTAGTAAATGTTATAAGTATAATAACTTTGGATCAAGAAAAATGCTTCACAGGAAGTAAAACAGAGTGGTGGAAAAGTGAGTAACGTGGAGGGGGAGAGGTCACTCTTTAGGTAAGGAGGTCAGAGCAGCCATGACAGACCTGGCTATGGGAGCTGTGTTCTAGATGGAGGGAAGAGCAAGTCCAGAGGCCCAGGATAGGACTGAGGGTGTCCCACGAGAAAGCAGGTCAGTGTTGTTGGCTGGACCGTGATGGGGGGCAAAGGGAAGATAGAGCGAGGTAGGGAGGCCAGAATGTACAGAGCACGGGAAAGGGATAATTCTACTCTGAGAGTACTAGAAACCTCTGAGTCTTTTAAGCAGGACAGTGACATAATCTGATTTTTGTTTTCCAAAGATGCTTCTAAGTGTGGTGCAGAAAATGGGCTGAGGCAGGACAAGCTATTATTGCTCTGGAAGGGACGATGAAGCTGTGTAAATATTGGCCACACAAAGTGGAAGGCATATTGGGCCATCAGAAAGGTGCAGGTGATGTAGTGTGGGCATTCCCAGGGCAGGCGAGGTGACTGGGCTGGGGATCTTCAGCCTTTTTCTTCTTCTGTCCTGAGGGGTTTTTTTTGTTTTGTTTTTTTCGTTTTTGCCTCTGGTCATCCACCTTCTCAGCCCAGTCTTTTGTGCACAGAATTGGTAGGGCCTTTGTTTTTTCTCACAGGGAAGAGGTCTGGCATAGAGGTGAGAGGTCCGGCAGACAAAGGGGGTGGAAGGCAGTGAGCATAGCCCACCGCTCTGAGGTCGGAGGCCAGGTGTGTGACACAGCCCCGCTTCCCAGGTGGGGTGGCTAGAGGGCGGCACCTGGACTCTCTCAGCCGTGGGGAAGCACATCAGGGACTGAGGTTAGACACTGCTCACATGGAAATGTGTTGAACTCAGGAAAGGAGGAAAGCACACATTCTGTGCCTCAGGAGTCCTTGTCTGGACATTAGCAAAGTCCCCACTGTGACTTCTGCTGGCTCTGTAAAGCCAGCTGCGGCCTTTTCCAGGCACAGCCCGCATCTGGTTATCTGCCCAGAACTTCCTGTTCTGGCGTTTGACTTGAGTGCTCTCTTTTTGGTTCCAGCCCAGTGATACGCCAAGTTCTCTGAGTCCTCCGAATCTGCCTGGAGCCAGAAGTGAGATGGAAGAGAAGGTAATATGAATTGAAGTTACATATTTAGCTTCTTTACTTGAACTTCCATTTCCATTCTCTCCCCCGCTTTTTTTTTCGATCCGCTGTCTCATTTTTTCCATTCATAAATGCCGCCTTCATCTATTACTTTAAATTCCTTCAAAACATAACCAGTGGTAGATGTAGAGTGTCTGTTTCCATGGCAGCGCACCTGCTGGAACTGAACCCTGTTCTGAAAAAATAGCCACCTCCCAGCACGTACATATTTGAACACTTACACGTTGGTCATTTTCCTAAATGTACCAGGTACTTCAAGACACTGTTAAGCCATTGAAAAAGACATTCCAGAACACCTGAAGGTACCCAAGTCTGTAAGGAAAAAAGTCTCCTTCTATTTGGAAATGCAAAATAAGGGGCACCTGGGTAGCTCAGTCGGTTGAGTATCTTAATGCAGGTTTCAGCTCAGGTCAGGATCCAGGTCAGGGTCCTGGGCTCAGCCCTGCGCCCGGTTTCATGCTGAGCATGGAGACTGCTTGAGATTCTCTCTCCCTCCCTCTCCCCCCCCTCCTTTCTCTCTCCCTCTACCCCTGTCCCCTACTTGCATTTTCTCTCTCTCTCTCTCTCTCTGAAATTAAAAAAGGAAAAAATGCTTAGACATGCAAAAGCAAAAAAGACCTTAGCATTTTTCTACTTGTATGTATTTTTGTTTTTTAACTTTTCTGTGTTCTGTTGAAACCTGGGACTCTGCCTGCAGGAGTCCAGGGAACCCTGTGGAGACCGTGTGCACCCCTCCAGTAGAGGCCAGTCCACTCCTGTGAGCACTCTTCACTTGCATAGGGACTCAAGGGTCCTTCCAGAGACTGGTACAGTGAGCAGAGTATGTCCCTGAGTCTTCTGAAGGGGATGGCTCAAGACAGTGCCACCACCCAGACAATGAAGAAGCCCAGCTGAAATGAGTAGAAATGAAACCTTGCATTTAAGTCTCAGCTTCAAGTGCTTATCTGTGTCTTCAATCTATCACATTTGGCTCTAACTCCTTTTATTCACGCATCTAGTAGGGGATGGAAATAAATGTTTGATTTGTCTCTTCTCAACCACAGTTCAGAATTTGATACCTATTATAAAGATAACCATAAATAAGTGAAAGCCAGGAGCCCAAAGGCTGGAATTATTTTTCCTTACTACTGTGCTCCTTATCCTAAGTTATTATTTACTGAGCATCCATTTTGCTCTTGAGCTGGCTTGGTCCTTTATCTTTTGTGCATAAATATGGAAGGTAATTGCAAAAAGCAAAGCTGCCAGCTAAACCCCACTGGCTCTGCACTTACAACATGAATGCCAACACATAAACCCTGGCCTCTGTTCATGCCTCTGTGCCTCAGCTGCTGGCACCAGACCCACAGATGGGGCCGTGAGCGCCCTCTGCTGCACGTTGGCGTGGTGTGGCTGTGAGCCCTCACCTTGCTGCTTGCCTTTAAAAGCTCAATAGTTACAGGTGTGTGGCCCCTGGGTTGAGGCTGATCTGCGGGTGTACAGTTTGTCTGAGGTGGTGGCTCCTAAGTGCGTGCCATCTGCATTACAGCGCTTCAGTCGTGCCGTGAGGACCTTCCCTTTCCCCCGGGGGGCACAGTTCTGCCCATCCTTTTTTCGCCAGTCAATTCTGTGTTCTGTGGCTTTGGAATGATTGTGCTAAAACGTTTTTGCAGGTAGCAGTTTCATGCCCTAGGCATAGATGTTATACTTTCTTGTTTCTTCATTCCTCCAAAAAATATTTACTGAGCACTTGCTAAATGAGATTTGCTGCTTGGGCAGAAAGGGAACTGAAAAGATGAAAAAGACATTTTCGGGGCGCCTGGGTGGCGCAGTCGGTTAAGCGTCCGACTTCAGCCAGGTCACGATCTCGCGGTCCGGGAGTTCGAGCCCCGCGTCAGGCTCTGGGCTGATGGCTCAGAGCCTGGAGCCTGTTTCCGATTCTGTGTCTCCCTCTCTCTCTGCCCCTCCCCCGTTCATGCTCTGTCTCTCTCTGTCCCAAAAATAAAAAAAATAAAAAAAAAAAAAACGTTGAAAAAGACATTTTCCCTACTTCAGAGGGTCTCAGGTAGAGGCTGAGGGACGTTTGCAAGTGTCTTATAGAGTCCTTAATATAGAGATGAGCTAGTCCAGGGCTCAGCAAACCATGCTTTATTTTAGGCTTTGTGGCCATAAGGTCCAACCTAGATACCCTCCTTTGTTCTGCTCTTCCTTTGTAGCACAAAAGCACTAAAGACCATGGACAAGGGGTGTGGCTGTGTGCTGACAAAACTTTATTTACCAAAACAGGCTGTGGGCAGGATTGGGCCTCCTGGCTATGTTTTGTCAACCCCCCTCATCTAATCTGACCCCCCCCCCATATTATTCAGAGTAGGAAAATCAGTCCCTGAAAGGTTAAATGACTGTTTTGAGTTAATGCAAAAATCATTGGCAGAACAAATAGTCAACGTCCTGTTTTTTGATGACAAAAGCAGTGCTCATCTCTCTGTCCCAGTGCCTCTGTTCACAGCAGCCCCTGGGCCAGTCCAGGCCTGGCAAGGTGCAGGCCCCAGCAAGTGCTGCTATTCCAGGACCCCCCCGACGGTGTTCTGATCTGGACTGACTCTGTAGTTTAATCTCCTCTACAGGTGGCTCCAGTTAAACCATCGCGGCCAAAAAGGCACTTCTCTTCTGCTGGAACCATCGAAAGTGTCAACCTAGATGCCATCCCCCTGGCCATCGCGCGTCTGGACAACAGTGCTGCCAAGCACAAACTGTCCGTTAAGCCAAAAAACCAGAGGGTGTCAAAGAAACACAGGCGACTTGCCAGGGTATGTAGCGCCCATCCCAGCTGACCAGGCAGATGCCCTTGCTTGTGGGCACTGATTCTACCTGGCGGGGGGTTGGTGGTGGTGTGAGGGACCCGTAGAAGCAACTAAGTGTCTCCCATCAGGGACCTGGTGTGTTGCAATGAACAGGGGGAAGCAGGCCCATCTACTGGCTCTTTCTAACTTGGTGCCTGCCTGGGGCAGGTGAGCCTCAGAGTTGAGGGGCTGCCTTTTGAGGGGCTCTAGACACCTTGCATTTGCTTTGCCAGCTCTCCTACCGTGGCTCTGCCAAAGGTTCTTCAGTTTGACTGGTGTGGACTTTGAAGTCACAAATTTCAGGGGACGTCGATGAAGTGCAGCTCTCATTTTTTCTCATCTTTCTAATGCTGGGCTATTGGTTTTTCTCTTTTTATTCATTTGTATTAAGCAAAAGGCATTTGAGAATGACCAATAAAAGGGCCGTGGAGTAAACATGAAGGTGATATGTTTTCCTCCACTCTCACAATTTACTCTTGCTGTGCTGGCCTGGGTGTACCTATCTCTATACTTAGGAACAACTGCACTTTCTCTTGAGATTAAGAGGGTCACCGACATTGTGAATAGGGTGGGTAATGGTTGCCTGTGCAAAAGGAAAAGGCTAATTATTTTGTCCTTACCAATGTTAGGATCGACTGCATGAACAAGGTAGCCTTCTGGGTCAGCTGTCCCTGGACCAGAACGGACACCCTGGAGAGGGCAAACCAATTTGGCATGAGGAGGAGCCAGAGCTGCTGGACTCTGAAGAAGAGAAGAGATGCCAAGAAGAATACTGGCTAGAACTTGAGGCCAAGTGCAAACGGCAAAAGGCTGAAGCAGCCGAGAGGAGACGTCTGGAAGAGCAGAGACTCCAGGCCCTGGAGAGGAGGCTTTGGGAAGAGAACAGAAGGCAAGAGCTCTTGGAGGAGGTAGGCGAGGACGAGGAGGGAGACGAGGCAGAACTACAGCTGGAGGCAGAAAAGAGGCAGCACCAAGAGGAGAGGCAGAGACTGGAAGGACAAGGTGTCCAAGGCCAAGAGCGGAGAGAACAAGAGGAAGGAAGGCACCTGGAGGCCCAAGAGCAGCCGCCACGCACACAGCAGGAAGAGCAGGCGGTGTGGAGCGGGCAGGAGGCCGACAAGCAGCAGGAAGAACAAGAGGAAAGAGAGTTGAAGGAGCTGGAGGAACAGAAGCAGTTGGAGGCCGAAGAGCAGCAACAAAGGGAGGAGGAGGAGCAGCAGCGGCAAAGGGAGGAGGAGCTGCGGCTGCAGGAGGAACAGCAGAGTCTGGAGGAGGAGCAGAGGCGGTTGGAGGAGCAGCAGCAGCGGGGGCGGGAAGAGGAGGAGCACCGAGAACGAGAGGAGAAGAGGCAGCAGGAGGAGGAGCAGCGGCAACGAGAGGACAAGCTTCACCTGCAGGAGGAGCAGCGATGGGAGGAAGAGGCAGCAGCAGAGAGAAGGGCAGAACAGGGAAAGCGGGAGGAAGTGGAGGCGCAGAGGCAGCAGGAAGTGGAAGGTCGAGAAGCAGCGAGTGTGCAAGAGGAGAGGTGGCAGCCACTGGACGTGGAAAGGAGCTCAAGGAGCCCAGTTCAGGTGGACTTTGCAGGGAAATCAGGCAAACGAGAGCACCTGCAACCCGAGAAGCAAAGAGAACACTCTGAGGAGTCAAGGATTTGCGAGAAGCAGAGCCAGGAGGCTGAGCCATGCGGAGAGCAGCAGGCACAAGGCGGGGATTTTCCCGGGCATAGTCGTCGTGCACGTCAGGAAAAGAGACAAGAAGCTAACATGCAGCCTCCCCGGAAACAAGAGGCGAAGGTAGAAGAGATGCTGGCTGCCGGGGAAAAGAAGGAAGCTGCCGCTCCAGAAAAAGACAGGAAGGTGGAGGAACTTCGGTGGCAGGAAGTGGATGAGAGGCAGACCACGCCCAGGCCCTATACTTTCCAGGTGTCATCCGGAGGGAAGCAGATTCTCTTCCCCAAAGTCAATCTGAGCCCAGTGATGCCCCTGAAGGACGCGGGACTTGCCTCTGCCTCCCAGGAGCCGAAGACCCCCAGAGCCAGCCCAGCCTCCCATGCCTTGCCCTCCTCCCTGAGTGTCCCCCACACAGCCATTCTGGTCACGGGAGCACAGCTCTGCGGCCCGGCCGTCAACCTGAGCCAGATCAAGGACACAGCATGCAAGTCTCTCCTGGGCTTGTCAGAAGAAAAGAAGCACGTGGATGTCCCTGTCCTGGAGAACCCACCCCGAGCATCTGTCGACCCCCGGTCAGGGAGCGGGAAGGCCAGGCCCCCCCAGGAGTCTCCGAGCAGTGTGGCTGCACTAGCCGAATGGGCTTCCATTCGGTCCAGAATTCTGAAGAACACAGAGAGTGAGCAGCGCGTTGATAGAGACCAGTCTCGACCAGGTGAAGAGCACACTCCCAGGGGCCGATGTGATTCCCGCGGGAACCTCCGGAGGATCCCCCCAGTAAATGCAAAATTCTCTATTATGCCTGCTTGGCAGAAATTCTCAGATGGTGGCACCGAGACCTCCAAACCTAACACAGAAGCAGAGAGCATTAGAAAAAGACCTGTGCTGGGACCCAATGATGGGTCAGCTCCCCAGCCCCTGGCTACTTATGAGCACCCAAAGGGTACAGAGAAACTGGAGCCAGCAGACAGCACAGAGGGATGCAAATTTGCCAAAGACCTCCCATCTTTCCTTGTTCCAAGCCCTCCTTACCCTCTACAGAAAGCAGTGGCCCATGCAGAGCCCATGATCATTTTGGACAGTGAGACCATCAGTGGTATAGGAAAGGCAGACCCCGCAACGCCTGGTCAAGAGGAAAAAGCCTCACCGTTTGGGATAAAATTGAGAAGGACCAACTACTCCTTGCGCTTCCACTGTGACCAACAGACAGAACAAAAGAAGAAGAAAAGGCACAGCAGCACCGGGGACAGTGCTGATGGTGGGCCACCTGTACCAGGAAGTACAAAAGGAGAGAAAGAGACAGAGGGTGTGGCCCTCAAGCATGGCCTGTCCCTAACCCCTGAGAGGAAGCAAGCCCTGTCCACCTGGAAGGACTCTGCTGAAAGAGTACACTCTTCTCCTGCAGCCCAGCTGGGGCCTCAGCCAGTTGCAGAGCACGACAAGGTGGCAAACAAAATGCCATTGGTGCAGAAGCCAGCCCTGGCTCCCAAGCCTGCCGGTCAGACTCCCCCCTCCTCCCCACTCTCCAAACTGAGCAGGCCCTACCTGGTAGAGCTGCTGGCCCGCCGGGCAGGGAAGCCAGACCCGGAGCCTGGCGAGCCATGCAAGGAGGGTCAGGAGAGCAGGGACCTCTGGCCGCGGTCACCGCCACCCCCAGAGAAAAGGAAGGCACACAAGAGGGATGAGGAGGAAGTTGTAGAAACAGAGAGGAAACTTGGTTCCTCGGCCCTGTCTGCTGCTCGGCCAGAAAAGCCTTCCCAAACCCCTGAGGCCGGGAGGAAAGGTAGGTATGGGTAGGTGCCCCCTGCCTCTGTCCAGCTGGTCTGTGTCCTGGCAGAAGCCACAACTGCCCGGAGCTGGAAGCAGGGCTAGTGTGGGAGCACGTCCCTTCGCTGTCATAAGTCGTATTGAGGCCCTTTTCTTTTTCTGCTCCTTTAGAATTTTGGAAATGCTGACTGTGCTACCTGCCTGCAGCTCATACTGTTAATGATACTTACAGAAGTAATAAGTTCCAGGTGCTGACACTTAGACTAACACACTTTCAGTTGACAACGGACATTGAAATACAGTCCTAATTAACAAAGAAGCCCTTAATCCTTATGAAGGAGCCTCACAGTGATGATAAGACTGGGGTTTTCTAGACTAGCCTGTGTTCTAGCTCTGGGCAGTAAAGGCACTAAGGTGGGAGGTTAGGGGACTTTCAGCAGCAGCATCGGCCTTGGGAGCTTCTGTGTGAATGATTGACTTTGGCTCAGTTTTATGCAAAATGCTGTGCAAATGCGTCCCTGCCCCCACCAGCTTACCACTGTGAAGCCTTTTAAAAAGAAATCTTAGAGCTGCCCTCACTCAAGGCTGCCCCTCGTGTTTCTTCAGACTATCGGTTTGGGACAGTTCAGTGATCACTTGGATTGGCTTTGGGGTCCCTGAGAACCTTCATCTAATTCTTTTTCTTTTCTGTTTTGTTGAAGTAAAGTTTGGGTCATATTCCAGGAAGTTACTTGCATGTATCAGAGAAACTCTCCCCTGAGGTTTATTAGGAAATGCTGCAAGCCTTCTCTTGTGTTTAATTGTTTAGATTTAGGGTGATTTTTGCGGAGAAAAGATCTGTTTCCTGAGCAATAGTGGTTTGGTTACTTGCCTTATGGAAGACCTTATTGTCCTTTTTAACCACGCCTTAGACCAGCATGTAGATCACGCTTCCGGACCATTTCTCCCTAGTGATTTCTGTTTGTCCTGCTGAGGAGCCCATTTTCATCATTCTTTGTGTTTTTGTTTTGTTTTGCTTTAACCTTTTTGCTGGGCTGTGGGGGAATGCCATTGTGCACCCTGCAAGCCTGTGTATAACTGTCCTGGGGGGCTCAGTCCATTCAGTGTGTCCAAATCTTCATTTTGGCTCAGGTCACGATCTCTATGAGATGGATCCCGGCATCTTGCTCTGCACTGATGGCATGGAGCCCACTTGGGATTCATTCTCTCCCTCTCTCTGCCCCTCTCCCACTTGTGTGCTTGCTGTCTCTCTCAAAATAAATAAACATTAAAAAAAAACAGAACAAACAAAAACTGTGCTGGGACCCCTGGGTGGCTCAGTTGGTTAAGCATCTGACTCTTTTTTACGGTTCAGGTTGTGATCTCACGGTTTGTGAGTTTAAGCCCCTCTTTGGGCTCTGCACTGACAGCACAGAGCCTACTTGGGATTTTCTCTCTCTCCTTCTCCTCTGCCCCTCCCTCTCTTTCTCTCTCTCAAAATAAATTTAAAAAAAATTTTTAATTGCAGTTTAGTGCAGTGAATGAAAATGGATAGTTCAGTATAATGAATTGTCATCTTTCAAATAAGTTGGTTTAGGAATAACTATGCAGCAACTTGGAAAACATGCAATTGCATCGGGCTCTGCACTGACAGCATGGAACCTGCTTGGGATTCTCTGTCTCCCTTTCTCTCTCTCTCCCCCTTCCCCACTTGCTATCTCTCTCAGAAAAATTAATTAATTAATTTAAGCTGACCCTTAGTTCCCTAAAGCTTTGTGGGACTCATGTTTGCAATCCCCATTGACTTTCAGAGCTAGGTGTCTGGGGGCCCGTCCCTCTGGTGAAAGTCTTAAAAGTTGGGGCCCCAGGTGTGGAATCCAAACCTTTTGTTCCTCAAGGAGAAGCTGACAGTTGTGAGTTCCCTCGGAGTTATGGATTGCTGTACGGGGGGTGGGTTTATGGTGAAATTGTGTCTCACCCTCTCCAACCTCCTTCTGTGTGAGTTTTTCTCATTCACCCATTGCATAGTTGTTCAGCTGGTTTTTGGATTTTTTTTAAAAGGGAATTGTTCCATATATAGCTGCATATTGAGTGTGCATGGGAGGGGAGGGGTGCAGGACTCTCCTATGTCACCATCCTGAATTGGAACCCCCATTTTCAGTTTTGACATTAGCCTTTGTGTCAGTAGCTTTTATGATCATCCAAGTCCCTCTCACTGTCTGGAGGACTCTCTCACTCTCCTTATCTTCTCCCGGAAGAAATAGCTCTCTGCTGTGCTTCTTTCTCTTAGGGAAGCCCTTTTGATCATTATAATTTTCTATCCAAAACTGGCAGTGCCCCTGTTTTCTTCCCCGGTATCCAGATTCTGGGCTGTCAGGCTCTGCTAATTGAATTTTTCTTTACTTGGTAGAAAAGCAACATGAAAGCAAAGACCACATGCCCATGGGTGCTGTCTAAAGACCACTGGGGTCTTCCTGCTCACTCTAGGCCGCGCAGGCCAAACATGTTTGACTGAACACCCCATCAGAATAAAAATATTAAGCCTGGATCTCCAATTTTATTTGTTAATTGTGACCCTGTAGTGCTGTTATTAGCTAAAACACCTGGAGCATCATATACATTTAAGGTAAAGGTCACTGAAACAACAGTGGACATAACTCCGCTGTGATAATCCTCCTGTGTCCTCCTGTGTTTGCCCTCTAGCACTTCTATTGCAGATGTCATCTCATTCCAAAATTCCCACCTCCTTGTGGCGGGTGGAACAGATATTAAGTGGCCCTTTCTCCCAGAACTGACCTTTGGGAGCGGTGGTTAAAACCCTATAAGGGCAGGATGCACTGGTTCATGTCCCCAGAAGCTGAAGGAGGGAATTGGAGTGGGCTGTGGTTCCCCTTGTCCGTTGGGTTTAGAATGTGAGAGAATAGGTTTAAACAGATATTTTACCTTGGCTTCTTCCACCTCAACTCTGATTCTTCTATGACCCTGTGGTAGCTGTTTGGCCACTTTGTGGGCCTGCCCCAAGTAAGTGATCTAGAACTTTTACTTCAGGATGTGGGAATCGGTGCCATTATTTGTTGAAGACCTTTGGGCATCCTGGGCTGAAATTCAGACAGGAGCCACATTTTAACATCCTAAAACATTTTCTGTTTATTGATCCCCAGCTACAGTCCAGACCTGTTAGTCCCTTTACATATATTGTGTTACAGCCTTTCTAAAGTCTGGTCATAACTCCAGGATGTGCTATTCAAACCACAGTTCTAAGGAAATAAAAATCTGGCTAACGATTTATCTTTTCAAATAAAAAAAAAGTAGGCAATTCTACTTTAAAGGTATTTTGACCCTTGTGATAAAACGCTGGTCAGAATTGTTGGCAGGAAACTGGCCAGTTGTTTTAATGACCTTTCCAGGCAAGTTCAGGTGGAATGTTTAGTGTAGGATTCCCTTTTACATAATAGCTTTAAATTTTTTTTAATGTTTATTTATTTTTGAGAGAGAGAGAGCACGAGCAAGCAGGGGAGTGGCAGAGAGAGAGGGAGACACAGAATCTGAAGCAGGCTCCAGGCTCTGAGCTGTCAGCACAGAGCCTGACATGGGGCTTGAACTCACGAACTGTGAGATCATGACCTGAGCCAAAGTTATATGCTTAACCAACTGATACATAATAGCCCCTACATAATAACTTTAAATGGAAATCATTTGGATCTTGGCAGTTTGGTTTCAGACATTTTCCAAACAGGTGTTACACTGCCCTGGAGTAGAACAAAACTTAAATTATTTCTTGTGTGTAAAGCCTCTCAGTTAAGCAGAATGCTTGAAGTGGTGAATAGAGTCAACCCTTGAACATCATGAGGGTCAGGGGTGCTACCTTCCTGTGTAGTCAAAATCCCTTTTGACCCCCCCAGAACTTAACTAGTAATAGCCTAGTGGAAGCTTTCCTGATAATATAGTCGAGTAACTCATATTTTGTATGTTATATATGCTAAATACTGTATTCTTACAATAAAGTAAGCTAGAGAAAGGAAAATCTTATTAAGAAGACCATAAGGAAGAGAAAATACATTTACAGTACTGTACTGTATTTGTAAAAACAAAACAAAACAAAAACCGCGTAGGGGAGCCTGGGTGGCTCAGTGGGTTGAGTGACCAATTCTTGATTTCAGCTCAAGTTGTAATTCTGGGATCACATGGGATTGAGTCCCACGTTGGGCTCCTCATTGGACATGGAGCATGCTTAAGTTTCTCTTTCTCCCTCTGCCCGTCTCACCCACTTGCATGCGCGCGTGCTCTCTCTCTCTCTCTCTCTCTCTCTCTCT